GGCTCTCTCTGCGGGTAGGTGGCTCTCTTCTGCCCTGCTGCTGCAGCCTCAGCAATCAGACTGGGAGGGCAGGCTTGTATGGAGAGCCCAGAGGCCCAGGATAGTTGGTTGGAGGATGGACTTAAAAGTTTCAATTGACTCCTGTCTGGTGATTGCCCTTTTAGGGTGTCCTCCACCCCGTCACCTGGGAGCAAACTAATCTTTAGGGATCTGAGAGTCAACACGATCAACAGATGAAACCACCAGTTTACACAGCAGCGCTGGGCCAAACTAGCCCCTTAGAGCACCTCAATCCAGATAGGAACTAGGGCAGAGCCAAGCTGCTGAGGTCACAGATCACTGAAATGGAGACCCCTGCTGATCTGCCTCTAAAGACCTAAGATGGTCACAGCACTGTGCACAGCCACCTTGCTGCATACTGCAGTGGTACGCTCTTGTGCTCAGACCCCAGGAAAAGTGCTAGATCACACTGATAAGAAGACTGACAGCTTTTTTTTTTTTTTTTTTTTTCAATGACTTTAAAGGTTTGGTTAATTTTATCTTCATGACCTCTGATTTCCCTGTGGAGCAAATGGTAAAGTAGGGTTAGGCAGAGAGGGACAGACCCCAGCAGTCTATGGACAAGGACAGCCCTGAACAGCTGGCCCTGAGACATAAACTGGAACATGGTTGGAGCCTGGGACACAGGGCTAACAGGAAAGGACACAGACTGCTGTCAGAACACATACTACCACACACCCAAGGCCAGGACCCTGCTGACAGGGCAGACCTCCACCCTGGCCCCTTACTGCCCCCCGCCCCCTCTCCCCTGCCTGCCAGCTGCCAGCAAGGCTCTGCCTTGTGTCTGCCACACCTGTCACTGCCTGTCCTTGTCCGGGGGGGGGGCCCCATCAGCCCCTCCTCAGCTGCCCAGCAGAGCAAGCAGTTATTGGGGAGGGGAGGGAACATGGAGCGGGGGGCAGTGGTGGGGGCAGGGCTGGGGGCTGGGGCCCGAATCCGGGCACTCCTGGGCTGCCTGGTCAAGGTACTGCTCTGGGTGGCCTCTGTCTTGCTGTACTTTGGAAGCGAACAGGCTGCCCGCCTTCTAGGCAGCCCCTGCTTACGGCGCCTCTACCATGCCTGGCTAGCAGCGGTGGTCATCTTTGGGCCCCTTCTGCAGTTCCATGTCAACCCTCGGACTATCTTCGCCAGCCACGGCAACTTCTTCAACATGTGAGTCCATTCAAGTCTGTGGGAGCCGGGTTCCTGCACTCTGGGATCCTAGCTCCCTTCTCCAGGCTTCTGTCCTTCTGCCAGTCTGAACACTAAAAATAGGCTAGGAGGTTGAGGAGAAGGTCGGGTGAGGGGGAAGGGAAAGGAGCTGTGGGGTACAGGGGAAGTCAGGAGCAGGACTGAAGAGGAAATGTGGATCCTGGCATGCTGAATGGTCCTCCAAGGAAATGGCAAAGTTTAAATGACTGGGGACAGTACAGGGTATGGCAAGGAGAGAATGGGTGATGATGTGTAGGGTTGGGGAAAGTGTAGTGATGGGAACACAGACCAAGGTGGGAGATGGAGCTTGGGGTCTCAGTAGTCTTCCCCTCTTTTCTACCCACAGAAAATTTGTGAATTCAGCCTGGGGCTGGACATGCACCTTCCTGGGGGGCTTTGTGTTGCTGGTGGTGTTCCTGGCTACACGGCGCGTGGCAGTAACTGCCAGACACCTGAGCCGACTGGTGGTGGGGGCAGCTGTGTGGCGGGGAGCCGGCCGGGCGTTCCTGCTCATCGAGGACCTGACCGGCTCCTGCTTTGAGCCACTGCCCCAGGGTCTGCTGCTCCACGAGCTGCCTGACCGCCGCAGCTGCCTGGCAGCCGGCCACCAGTGGCGGGGCTACACGGTCTCCTCACACACCTTCCTGCTCACCTTCTGCTGCCTGCTCATGGCAGAGGAAGCGGCCGTGTTTGCCAAGTACCTGGCCCATGGGCTGCCTGCAGGCGCCCCCCTGCGCCTTGTCTTCCTGCTCAACGTGCTGCTGCTGGGCCTCTGGAACTTCTTGCTGGTCTGTACTGTCATCTATTTCCACCAGTACACTCACAAGGTGGTGGGCGCCGCAGTGGGCACCTTCGCATGGTACCTCACCTATGGCAGCTGGTATCATCAGCCCTGGTCTCCAGGGAGCCCAGGCCATGGGCTCTTCCCCCGTTCCCACTCCAGCCGCAAGCATAACTGAAAGGAATAAAAGCCATTGGGCCTGGCTCTGCCTCTTCTCATCATTTGGTTGGGTACTTGAAAGGGTAGGAAGAGGGTCTGGTAGTCACTAGGGTTCCTCAGCCATTCCTTACTCTCATCAACCTTAAATGTCCTTCCTTATGCTTGATATCCATCCCTCCAGCTGTCCTTTCAGCCTCCTAGTTTTTGCAGACTTCAAGCTATCTGGGGACTGAAACATCCAGGAATGGTGCTTCTAAGCCAGGTAATGATGCCTTTAGGTGTGGACATCATTCTTGCTGAGCAGTTGCTCCATCTCCAGAAGCCAGGTTGGTTGTTTTTCTTGCCTTCTCCACTGAATCTCCACTCTGCTCTCTTCAGGGGCCTACATATCTGGGCACTCCACTCTACCCTTCCTACCCTGTCTTCCCCATAGGAGTCTGTATGTGCTCATCTATTTAACAAATGTTTATTGAGCTGAGCATAATTCTATGCCATGTAAATAAGATTTCTGCTGTTTGGAGGCTTATGAACTAACGGGGGAAGGCAGATAATAGACACACAAATAATAGCAGACACTTGCACTCTGTTTACTCTGTGCCAGGCACTGTTCTAAGTGTCTGTAAGTTCTTTACAAAAGTTAACACATTTGGTCCTCACAACAGTAAAAGTATGAGGTAGGTTGTACTGATCTTGATTGACAAAAAAAAATAAAAAATAAAATTGAGGTAATAGTGTTTCCATTGTACAGTTGCAAAAACTGAGACAGAGGTTAAGTAACTTGTTCACAACTAATGAACAGAGGAGCCATGATTACAAAGCTAGGCAATATGGTGTATCTTCTGTCCTCTAAACCAGGAATTAGCAAACTTTGGCCCTCCTATGGCCAGTTTTTGTATGACCTGCTACCTAAGAATAGTTTTTATAATTTTTTTTTTTTTTTTTAGGCAGAGCCCTGGCAGTGATGGCTCATACCTGTAATCCCAACACTTTGGGAGGCTGAGGCAAGAGGATCACTTGAGCCCAGGAGTTTGAGACTAGCCTGGACAAGATGGTGAGACCCTGTCTCTACAAAAAATTTTTTAAAAAGAAAAAGGTAGAACTTTTTTACATTTTATTATTATTATTATTATTACTATTATTATTATTTGAGATGGAGTCTCGTTCTTGTTGCCCAGGCTTGAGTGCAATGGCACAATCTCGGCTCACTGCAACTTCTTCTTCCCAGGTTCACGTGATTCTCCTGTCTCAGCCTTCCAAGTAGCTGGGATTATAGGCATGTGCCACCATACCTGGCTAATTTTTCTATTTTTAGTAGAGACAGGGTTTCTCCATGTTGGTCAGGCTGGTCTTGAATTCCCGACCTCAGATAATCTGCCCGCCTCGGCCTCCCAAAGTGCTGGGATTACAGGCGTGAGCCACTATGCCCGGCCTATAGTTTTATTTTTTATTTTATTATTATTTTTTGAGACAGAGTCTCACTCTGTTGCCCAGGCTGCAGTGCAGTGGTGCAATTTTGGCTCACTGTAACCTCTGCCTCCCAGGTCAAGCAGTTCTCCCATCTCAGCCTCCCGAGCAGCTGGTATTACAGGCCCCCACCACTCACCAGTCTAATTTTTTGTATTTTCAGTAGGGATGAGTTTCACCATGTTGGCCAGGCTGGTCTCAAACTCCTGACCTCAAGTGATCAACCTGCCTTGGCCTCCCTAAGTGCTGGGATTACAGGTGTGAGCCACTGTGCCCAGCCATTTTTACATTTTTTAATGGTTGAAAGGCAAAAGAAGAAGAAGATTTTATTACAGGAGAAAATTACATGAAATTCAAATTCCAGTGTCTATAAAGTTTTATTGAATTTCACCACACTAATTCATTTACATATGGCAGCTTTCCTGCTACAATGGCAGAGTTGAGTAGATAAGATAGTGTAAGGCCCATAAAGCCTTTAAATATTTACTCTCTGGCCCTTTATAGAAATAAAGTTTGCCCAAAACCTGGTTTAAATCACTATCCTGTAAAAAAACAAAAAACTGGCTAATATCAGAAATAAATGCTATGAATGTACTAAAACAGGCTGATTTGTAATAGATTTGGAGGGAGGTTCTTTATAGAGGATGATGAAAATAGTTCTCTCTGAAGGGGTGACATCTAAATTGAGAACCGAATGACAACACCCAGGGCAAGGGTGTTTTAGGCAAAGGGATTATTAACAAGGGCAAAGGCTCTGAGGCAGGAATGAACACGACACATTTGAGAAATAGCCCAAGTATTTGCAAGCGTAATGAATGAGGGGGCAAGCGGTAGAAAGTGAACTTGAAGGGGAGACAGGTGCCAGGCAGGCCACGAAGGATAGCCTTTTGGATTTCATTCTAAGGTCAACAGGCAGCAGAGAAAGGGTTTTAAGCCAGAGAGGCATGAACCTGCTGCTCCGTGAGATGGGTTATAGAAGAATGACATCTGCAGCCCTGGTCCAGGAGAGAGCTGGTCCGGGATGGTGCCTGCTCTGGTGCCGGTGTTGCTGCAGGTGCGGAGGATGTCGGCAGAGCCAGAGGCCCACGCTGGCAAGGTTAGGAAAGAGAGGCCAGGTGTTGTTCCATTTCTGGGGAAAGACGGAAGAGCCCTAAATAGGGCTTATCTGTCCCAGGCTGAGCAGGGGAAGAAGAGCAGCAGGTGGGGAGTCAGTGGGGAGGCGAGAGGGGGATGGGAGGGGGAAGGGAAGGAGGACGGGAGGTGGGAGGGGGAGGGGAAGAGGAGGGGGAGGGGAAGGGGAGGGAGTGGGAGGGCGGGGCGCGGAGAGCCGGTTTTGGGCGGGGCGATGGGAGGACCAGTGTCCTCCGGCGGCTGGCGGTGGGAGGCGGGGACCCGGCCGGCGGAGGTAGGGAGGCTGGAAGCTGGCCCTCGCGAGGCGGCACGGGGAAAGTGGGCGAAGAGCGCCTGTGCGCGCTAGGGGGAGCCGCGCCCGCCGCCCTCCTTTGCGGCACCGCCCCTCCAGCCCTCCCCGCCCCATTACCCAGGAAGGCCGAGCGGGGTGCAGGCGCTGCTTTCGCTTTCCCTTCGCGGTGCCCACTTCGTTCCTCGTGCGGCACTAGGACCCCCACCCCGGCCATGACCACACTCAGGGTCCATCCCGAGGCCCAAGCCAAGGTGAGAGCCACGGGGTCTAAGAAGGGCCCCCTGGGGAGGCGTGGCTCAAGCGGCCAAGGGCATCCCCGACCCGCCCCCCAGGCTCCCACGCGGGTCGAGGGCAGCCGGCCGAGCCGGGGCGCCCGAAGCACCTGCGCCCCGGAGAGAGCGGCGACCGCTACCTGCGAGGACAGGCAAGGCGGTTGTGGTTCGGCGGGGTGAGGTGAAGCGGAGAGCTGGCATGGAGGGGAACTCCGCTGGCCTGGGGCCGGGGCCACCCACAGATCTGGTGCGGGACTGCCCCAGATACTTCCTGGCCTTTTCGTCAGGGAGGATCCCGGGGATCCTATCGGAGGTTCCTATCCAACTCGCAGAGGCCTTTCAGCACCCCTCCTTACACCACCCAGGTGACCCCAGGGATCCATTCTCACATGAACCACTGGCCCTTCACCTCCAGGAACGTTCTCATCCCCCATATTCAGCCCCAGGGATGCCCACTCCACCCTTCCCAGATCCAGGTCTGCAGAAATCCACTCCTCCACCACCCCAACCCCCTCTACAGGCGTCTATCTCGCCTTCTTCAGGTCTAGCCTTAGAAGGATCCACTCCACCCTTCCCCAGGTCAGGCCCTGCATAACCCTAAGGGAATTGTCCTCAAATGAACTAGCCTTAAAGCCAGGTTTCTGAAGGGATGTCTGTGCCCCACAGGTGGATGTGTTTCGTGAAGACCTCTGTACCAAGGTAAGACCTGCCCCATCAGCAGCCCCACTCCGACCCAACTTCTACTGCTCAACCCTGCCTCACCACCTAGGACAGGCATTTGATGCTGACTCCCATACTCCTCCACCCCCACCTCACACACAGACAGAGAACCTGCTCGGGAGCTATTTCCCCAAGAAGATTTCTGAGCTGGATGCATTTTTAAAGGTACCGTGGCTGGGCAGGGAGCTAGGGAGTAAAGACCAAGAGAAGAGTCTGGAGGGTCGTGAGAGTGAGGTGAGAGGAACACCCTCACCTCCAGTCCTCCTCCCACCCTACACCAGGAGCCAGCTCTCAATGAAGCCAACCTGAGCAATCTGAAGGCCCCACTGGACATCCCAGTGCCTGATCCAGTCAAGGAGAAAGAAAAAGAGGAGCGGAAGAAACAGCAGGAGGCAAGCTGGGAAGACCTGGGAGGAAGGATCCAACCATGGGGGAAATCAACCTTAGTTCTGACTCGCATGAGCCCCTCTTTCCCTGCAGAAGGAAGACAAGGATGAAAAGAAGAAAGGGGAAGATGAAGACAAAGGTAAAACTATGACGGTGGGAAGAGACTTGAGTCCCACCCACAGGAGGTCCTCCTAAGGATTTCTTTCCACTCTCCCCTTCACCTCACATAGGCTTAATCATGTAACTGACCCATTGCTCACTCTCTAGGTCCTCCCTGTGGCCCAGTGAACTGCAATGAAAAGATTGTGGTCCTTCTGCAGCGCTTGAAGCCTGAGATCAAGGATGTCATTGAGCAGCTCAACCTGGCAAGCCCTCCTCTTTCAACTCTAAAGCTTCACGTCAAACAAACCCTTGTCCTCTTGGTCCCTGCTAGTTAGGGCCTGGCACTTGCCAGGTTTTAGCAAGAGAGGGCACAGCAAGTGAAACCATAAGTCCAGGCCCTGGGGCTCAGGATAGACCTGGAATGCCTCCACCCAGTGTGGGGAGGGAAGCAAGGGAGAATATGAAACTGGCAATTGGGCAGAGGGCTGATGTGGCATGATGCCATTCCCTCCTCCCAGGTCACCACCTGGTTGCAGCTGCAGATACCTCGGATTGAGGATGGGAACAATTTTGGAGTGGCCGTCCAGGTGAGAGTGCTGCTGCCCCACTTCCCCACTCTCCTTTCTAGTCCATGCTTCCTTCCACTTTCCCCCTTGTTTTTTTTTTTTCCCTAGGAGAAGGTATTTGAGCTGATGACCAGCCTCCACACCAAGCTAGAAGGCTTCCACACTCAAATCTCTAAGTGAGTGACCACCCACATGCATACTGCTTTGTTTTGGACAGAGACCTACCTCCTTCATCTTCTACTCCATACACACTTCTTCTTCCACAGGTATTTCTCTGAGCGTGGTGATGCAGTAACTAAAGCAGCCAAGCAGCCCCACGTGGTAGGTGAGGCCCAGGTCAGGGTGCATGGGGGAAGGACACATGTCAAGTCAGGCCTGACCTGAGCTTCCCACAGGGTGATTATCGGCAGCTGGTGCACGAGCTGGATGAGGCAGAGTACCGCGACATCCGGCTGATGGTCATGGAGATCCGTAATGCTTATGTGAGGAGACGAGGGCAGGGCAGGGGTGGGCAGATGCAGCTTTCCCAGGCCACCCACTCCCTGACCCTGCAGGCTGGGGGTTAAGGGTGACAAAGCTCAGCTTCTCCACAAGGCTAGAAATGGGGCACAGAGCCACTGGAGGCCTCTGACTGACCTCCACTCCTCCCTGGCCCTGTAGGCTGTGTTATATGACATCATTCTGAAGAACTTCGAGAAGCTCAAGAAGCCCAGGGGAGAAACAAAGGGAATGATCTATTGAGATCGCTCCCATTCTGTGAGGGGTACAGCAGACACATATCCTGCTTTTTACTAGGGACTCCAGACTTTCCCCAAACTTGCTCCTGTTGAGATTTTTCTTCACCTTGCCTCCCAGGCACAATAAATACAGTTATACCATTGCCCTTCAGCTCAAGTCTCTTTATTGGATCTGGACCGCCCTGGCTCAGGCATTTCCATTTCCATTCGTGGGACCAACCCACTGGGTGATTTGAGTGTTGAGTTGCTGGTTGGTCCAGTCCTGCCGGATGTCCTCAAGGTGGCAGTCGAAGTCCACAAGGTGCCGGTGGGCCCGATCCTCCAGTAGAGCTCCCACCATCTGCCTTGACTCTTCCCAGTCCCTCCACATCACTCTGAAATAGTAAGCCCCATGGAGGTCAAACAGCAAGTAGTGGGGCCAGACACAAACTTAACAGAGATTGAGTCTAGAGAAAGACCTCTGGGGCAGGGCCAAGGACAGGGGAAACCCAGGAGCCTTGGGCTTCTGAGAAGAGGTAGAGGAAGTGGGATACTCACAAGTTCTTGTCCTTAGGGACCCAGTGGAGACCTTGGTTCTCCAGGATGATGACTGGGGGGACACGAGGCTGAGGCACCAGTTTCTGATTATCCAACTGAGTGGAGAAAAAAGGGCAAGTGAGAGTTTCAAGGATCCCCCTGCCCCACTTTCTCTACCTCCCTACCTGGTAACCCAAGCCTCACCATAATAAGTACTGCATCAGGGAAGAATTCTGCAATTCGCCCAGCAATTTTCAAGGCCAGGGGCCCAGGGCTGTGTAGAGGGAAGATCAGAGTGAGGAGCCAACTGTGGGCAAAACCCATTCATTTGAGCTGGGCCTCCCAGGTCTCATAGATGTGGGCGCAGCTGTGGCCTTTCCCTGTAGCTGGCCTGCGGGGATCGGGCCTGCTGGATGCTTGATGCACGACTGCTTGAAGCTTGAGTGCTGTGGGAAACAGGTGCTCAGATATTGCTGGTGAGAGTGGAAACCAAAGGTCGTCTTTTTGGAAGGTAACGGCACAACCATCCAAATTGAAACTGTATACATACTATACATATGCTGACCCAGAAATTCTACTTACAAAGAAGTTATGGTAATAATAGGACAGTGACTGTAATAAAACATTGGAAACTTCAATATATAATGTAAAGCATTACATAAATTATGGGACATCCATATTCAGACTATACAGCTATTAAGGAAAGGTAGATCTTGGTGTGGAAATGGAATGATGTCAAATATTTATTAAGTGAGGAAGAAACACAAATTTACAAAACAGTATCTCTAACTTGTTTAATGTATATGATTTATATATATATTACATATACATTATATATATATTATGTATGTAATTGTCTCTATATATATAAGGAAACTTCCCTATTTCGGAAGTTGCTGATTGGGCTTTCTCTGTTCTTTCAGCACCTGGGGGACACCTCAGTTAAAGCAAGATCAGTCTGTTGGCCTGGCGCAGTGGTTCATGCCTGTAATCCCAGCACTTTGGGAGACTGAAGCAGGTGGATCACCTGAGGTCCAGAGTTCTAGACCAGCCTGGCCAACATGGCAAAACCCTGTCTCTACTAAAAATACAAAAAAAAATTAGCCAGGGGTGGTGGCCCTCATCTGTGATCCCAGCAGGAGGCTGAGGTTGGAGAATCGCTTAAACCCAGGAGGCAGAGGTTGCAGTGAGCCGAGATTGTGCCACTTCACTCCAGCCTGGGCGACAGAGCAAGACTCCATCTCAAAAAAAAAAAAAAAAAAAAAATCAGTCTGTTGATATACAGTTGTCCTCCCCGCCCCCACCACTCCAGGGCAGGGCTCTGTCCTATTCATCTCTGTATTTCCTCACTCCAGCACCTAGCATAGTACCTCATGTAAAGCCCCTGCTCCTACGCTTTGATAAAGGAAAGATTAAAGGAATAACCTTGGTTCTCTTGCGCGCCATTCCCCCCCATCCCTCCCACCATAATCCTTTCCTTCTGCCTCTGGCTACGCCACTCACCTCTGGTCGTCCACAGCTGCATTGGCATGGTAGTACCCAGCCACCACCAGACCGGCCTGTGCGCCCCACACATCCACCTGTCGTGGGAAAGGGGCCATCAGTAATTACATCGTGCCGCTGGCTTTGTGGATGCGCACTGCTGCCAAGGGACCGGGGATGAACTTGGGCTGGGGTGTTGGGTGGGTTCGCGGTGAGGAAATGGGCATCCAACCGAGGCACCTGGTTGAGGGCGACCTCCAACATGACGGATAGGGCCAGGTGGCTGTGAAAGAGGGGCACACAGTCAGTGAGGCACAGGCATTCTCCGGACCGCGGCGGTGGCGCCAGCAACAGCCCGTTGACTGCGGCGTATGGGTACCGGGCAGCGTGCAGACACATCTTCACGTAGGCCCGGGCCGAGATCTCCACCTCCCCCATGGCGAGCAGGGCCTGCCAGGGAAACAGCAAGCCGGATTAGAGCCGGTTCCCCACCCCGTCCAGGCGAGCCGGTGCCCAGCTCGCGTCCGTGAAGCTCCCTCCAGTGCTTCGGCACCCTCCTTGACCCTTCCCAGTGCCCTCTCACTTCGGTTCGGGTACGACGCTAACTCCGGTCGCGGTAGCTCGCCGGCTCCCTGCGCCATGGGTGCAGGAGCCCGCCCCCGGCCCGGCCCAGGAGGCGGTCCCGAGTGCATCCCTCCGCACCAAGCCCCGCCTCCCGCGCCCCTAGCGGGCGGTGGCGACTCAGCGCCTACCAGGGAGACCCAAGCAAGCTGCCGCTGGTTGCGGAACTGGCTTCTGAAGTCCCGCCCACGTGGTGCCCCTTGATAGGGCTAAAGCCTTTCATTTTGTCCAATCAGCGGCCGCGTCCCAACCTTGCCCCGCCTTTGTCTCCAGCGGACTGGAAAGACCCCGCAATTGTAAAGCAAAGAAAATTGCCCGCACTCTTATTGGCTGTAGTTCTCCGACTTCTGCTCTCGGTTGCTGGTTGGCTTTGCTTGCTACCAGTGTTACCACTGGCCCGGCCGAGCCCCGGGGATGGAGCGCTAGCCTGCAGTCTGGTGTCCCGGAGCGCTGCGGATACAGCAGACTGCCTTGCACCTATTATGGGATGACTGGATCTGTACGCTAGATCGGCTCTGTCACTTACTAATGAGCCTTTTTACCTTCGCGACTGCAGGCTTTCTTGCCCTTAGTTTCTTATCTTTTGCCCATGGTCCTTTAAGGATTTAATGATATCTGTATGGGGGCAGGCTTCCAGACTGTCCAGTGCTTCCCAGCACATTCTTATCTCATATTCTATAATAGGGTAAGGCCTTGAATTAAAGAACAATCCCATGGAATTTATAGCAAAGATCACAGCAAAGGAACCCTTGTCTCTACCACCAGCCCAGGGCTGAATTACGAAAAGCAGAGATAAAGACAGTGATTGGCTGAAAGGGGTATGGGGGAGGACAGTAAGAAAAACTTACAGATTCATCCTTCCCATAATGTCCTGCGGTGTATTTCCTTAACCACAATGCCTTGGGAGCATTATTTTTTTCCCTCCCAGCCCTTAAGAAGGAGTCCAATCATTCATCCATAGTTCTCCCAGCAAAACCTCATTCTCCTTCTAGGCTTGTCCTAAACTAATGAGGATTCTTTCTTCATTCCTGATGTCCCCATGTCTAGCCAAAGCCTTATTATTCCCGTAAGGGCTCTTTGCAAATGCCACCTCTTCCACTAATTCATGAGACCTTTGAATGAAAATAATATTGTGAAATTTCAAAAATACAGGTTATCTGCATGTTTGTCATGGCATGTAACAATCCCCATCCTGTTCCTTTGGAGGGCCTCAAGATTACGGTGGGCATCTAATTCATCTTTGTCTTCATGACACCCACCTCTTCCCACCACATTCATCTTCAGTCTGGACATAGGTGCCACTTAATAAATGTTTTTTGAATGAATGACACACACAGGAAGGTCCTTTATTGGGTCATTTATTTTCCTTCTAGTCCTGGGTTCAGTACATAGATGGCTTCTCTTCACCCTTTGGGTTGACAATTTTCTCCAGGTTGCTGCTTATGATATGATAAAGCTCAGCCTGGGAGAAGGCCAAGGAGCAAGAGTGAGGTTCTTGGTCAATCCCCTGCCCACCCCTACTCATCCACCTGCCCTAAGGGCTTACTCCACACTCACATAGAAGGCCCTCAGGTCCAGCACCATGGCCCTGAGCTCCCCATAGGCTGCCTCATCTCGCTCGTGCACCAAGGCCCGGTAATCCATCTGCAATGTGGGAGGCAAAGCTGAGTCAGTCCCATGGGATGTTGGGACATGAGTATGGTTTCCTTTTATAGGAAATAGATTAACTTGAGAACGAACCCCTTCTTAGCACCGAGAAATAGGATCCCAAAGGACTGAGCAGAGAAAAGGATCAAGGTCGTTGAAGCCTAAATCAGTTTTTCTAGGCAATGCTTTTAGCTTAATATCAGGAAGGTCACAAACAAGACAAGGAGGACCTCTTCCTCCACACCTCCTCTTCCCACCCCCAGCTAAAAGGCAGGTGGACCATCCACTCACCACATGAGTCTCCTTGGAGGCCTTGGCCACAGCATCCCCACGTTCTGAGAAGTACCTGCCAGAAGCAAGGGAATACCACAGGAATGAATGTTGAGGGAAATGTACTCCCTCAGACCCTCCCCAAAGTCTCCCATCATCGTGATGGGGCTACCCAGCTTTGGGGGTCCAAAAGAAATGTCCCTACTGCCCCCCTATACTGGTCCTCCAGCTCCCCTCACTTGGAAATGGTTGTCTGGAAAGCTTCCACTTTGGTCTTGACAGCATTCACCCTCTCCAGTACCTTCTCCTGTGGTGACATGGGAGGCAAAGACAACACTTCATGTCCTTCCCTCTTCAAACACTACCTTCCTCCTCCTTCTGGTTCATGTCCAGCTCCTAACTCTCACCCTCCAAGTCTCTCCCCACTCCCAGTGAGAGGACATTTCAGTTACCCTTTTCTTACCTGGATTGCTACCCCAAAATCATTTCCATCTTCAATCTTGGGGATCAGGTGCTGGATCCATGTGATTACCTGTGTTAAGAGGTATCATGTAAGAATCATTCAAAAAACATACTGGGTTCTATACTGTCACTTCCTAAAAAGTAGTTATACTTAGTTGGTTACTTATTATGTGCTAGGCACTGTGCCATATACTTGTCTTATTTAATCATCATAGCAACCTTCTGAGAATTTTTTTTTTTTTTTTTTTTAGACAGAGTCCTGCTCTGTCACCCAGGCTGGAGTGCAATGGCTCAATCTTGGTTCACTGCAACCTCTGCTGCCCAGGTTCAAGCGATTCTCCTGCCTCAGCCTCCAGAGTAGCTGGGATTACAGGCACGCGCCACCACACCTGGTATTTTTTTGTATTTTTAGTAGAGATGGGGTTTCACCATGTTGGTCAGGTCAGTCTCGAACTCCTGACTCCATGATCCACCCGCCTCAGCCTCCCAAAGTGCTGGGATTACAGGTGTGAGCCACCACGCCTAGCCCGAGATATATATTCTTATTATACCCATTTAACAGATGAAAAAATTGAATCACAGAATGTCTAAGTGACTTACTTAAGGTTACCAGCGAGGTAACTGATAAAATCATGATTTGAACCCAAGCTGTCTCTCTCTAGGGTCCAATCTTCTAAACCAATTTACTCACTGTATCATACCACCTCTACTATGAACCTGATACAGCAGTAGGTTCTGAGGTTACAGAGTGGATACTGTACAGTCTCTGATTTGGGGGGTACCACTATGATATGAGAGGTCTAACAGAATGAGGAGAACAAAGGGGATCTAAGCCCAAGGCACAGAAGGACGTTTTCCTTTTCAGGATTAGGTCTCTGTATGAAGGACTTCTATCTATGGAGGAGTCCAGTGCCTCACCTTGTTTGTCTTTTCTTTCCACTTCCCTTAGCTCCCCAGCTTACCAGAATGCATTTCTCTTTGAGAGTCCAGACTTCTGGCTTAACCAGGGCAAGCAGGGACAGGACCTTCTCATTCCCAGGGAGAAATCCACACTTAGGGACTGTGAGAAAGAGAGGATTCAGGCCCTTTCTCATCCAGTAGTCAATGTGCCATCTCCCCTTTCCTAGTCACCTCTTATCTCTCTTACCTTCTTTCTTCTCCTGCTTATCTGTTTCCATCTAAGACAAAAAGGGGGAAAGTAGCTTTAGAAAAGTCACAGAGGTTGAAGGGCTATCATCTCCATTGGGTTTATAGTCCAAGTCCTGCACCCTGAGTGTCTCACCTCATCATCCTTGGGTGGAGGATCTGGGATGGGGATGTCCAGTGTGGCCCGGAGGGAGGTCAGGTCAGCCACATTGAGGGAGTCCTCCTGCACAGAGCTCACTGTCAGGGGCTACCCAACCTCTTCTCTTCTTCCTGGGTCACAGACTTCCCTCCACACATCCTACTTGCCTTCTGCCTCCCAACCTAGGCTCAGGTCTCACACCATCCTAACATCCCCAATCCACTGTTTGAAATAATTCTCTGCATGCTGAATCCAGTTGTTAGCTAGAGAGGGTGGGCAAAGGGGAGAGAGGACATGGGATGGGGCAGGAGAGGCCCACACTACTTACTTGCAAGAGCTGATTCAGGTATATGATTTTCTGTGGCAAGAATCTGTAGAGGAATTCCTCAGCCTGTGGGTTACATTGCAAGGGAGGGGAATCACAGAATATGCTCAATGAGATGTGCGGCAAATGGAACTGGAGGGGACTTTGGAAATCACTGGGTCCAAGACTTGTAAGTGAGGAAACTTAAGACCTGAAAATGAAGGGACGTGCCCAAGCTGGTAAGTGGCAGAGCCAAGGTTAGGACTGTGATATTCCTGCCTTGGGAGCCATGGCGTTTTTCCTCCACCTCAAAAGAGGGGAGAAGTGCCAGAAGTGGGGAAGAGTCCTAAGAAAGGTCAGAGTAAAGGTAGGTATTAATAGTTCCAGGGTTACTTCGGGTGAAGGCTTGGTAAGGGAAATAGGGCTAAGTCTAGGGTGACTTGGGAGGTCATTCTGAGAGGTTGTTATCCTCAAGTATTGTTCTAAGATTCTGGGTCAAATCTCTTAAATCCAGAAACTTACCTCCTGGAAAAGATTCTGCCTGAAGACTTCCACCTACAGAAAGCAGTACCCGGATGGTGGTTAGGGGTCTGGGTTGTCAAAAGCTTCCACCCCCAATAGGGTGCCATCCAACTGTGGCTCAGGCCTTTCCCACCACAAGCCAGTTTTCCCTGGAAGCTCCTGCTCAGTACAGAGTCAGAGGGCAGGAACCTGGGAATCCCCAAGAAGTGAAAGCACTAGAGAGACTGGGGGAGTTCTCTGGCACTGCTTTGGTCCCCTGAACCACCCAGCTTGGCCTCCACCCAAGAGGGTTCCCCGACCCCTTCTTGGCCTCCGATTCTCCATTACCTGTTTGCGGGCCTCCCCGCTCAGGCGAACCCCACACGGCTTGGCCATGCTGCTTCAAGTCGCTAGATCTCTGGTCTCCGGGCTAGTCGCCCGGGCTTTCGCTTTCACTCCCCAGGTCCAGGCCCGCCCCCCTCAACCCCGCCCCCTTTCGTCTTTCCGCCCCCTCCTCCCCCTGGCAAGCCGCACGCAGTAGGTAGCCCCTCAGCCATTCCCAGCTAGTTGCCACTAGGAGAGGCGGTGCCGGCTGGGTCACAAGCCCAGGGGCTGTCCGAGGGAGGGGCTAGGGTGAGTGGGACCGCGGAGACTGGAGCGGGGGCTGTCTCTCAGAGAGGGGCGGGGCTTATAGCTAGGGCCAACAGGAAGTCCAGGGTTGGGGTAAGAGAGGTAGGAGTTGGCAAAGCGGGTCTCCAGTGGCGGGGCTCCCCCGAGAAGTCTCTACCTCAAGTAGTGGACGGAGAATCAGAGGGAGTGGGAGGGGCAGCAAGAGAAAGCGCCTAGGGTGGAGAAGGCCTAGCTGCCGGTGGAAGGGAGCCGGCGGAGGCTGGGTGAGGGTCTTCCCGTTGCCTTCAGGACAGACCGGAGATGGGGCGGGACTCGGTCGAGAGGGCATAGGGCCGGCCAGAGTCGGGTCCCCTGCGGGGTGGGACTTCCCCGGTGAGGCCCGGAGCGTAGCGGACTGACCCAGCTAGGAGGAAGGTTTTGAGCTGAACGGGATAACCCCACGCCTGGGGCTATCCGGAAGAGGTGGAACCAGACTGAAGGAAGGCGGAGACAAGCGCCTGACTGAGGAAAGAAATTGGGGCGCGCTGAGGGAGGAGCCAGGAACCCCTTGCCTACTGATTGGTTGGGACCCGGCCCTCCCTCTTGGCCACGCCCCCTAGTTTCCCGATCCCGGCTCCAACCTTAACGTTAAGCCCCGCCCGTTCCTCTGAAATTGGGTCGCAGCACGCCCTCTTTCCTAGTACTTCCTGTTCTTGGCTAACCCTGGCGCTGGGCCGGGGGCTGGAGAGTGACCGTGGTCTTAGTGAGCTGGGGCGGCTGTGCGGCCCGGGGTGGGCCTCACAGCCGGGCACCAGACGCGAGGGGCGGCGCTCGGGACGCGCGCTGCCCGCGCGGCGTTCCGACGGGCGGCGAGGCTGGGGCTGACCGCTGCCTCAGGATGCCGGGGGAGGAGGAGGAGCAGGCCTTCCTGGCGGCCCGCGAGGAGCTGGCTAGCGCCCTGAGGAGGGATTCCGCGCAGGTGTTTTCCCTCGAGCAGCTCCGGCCGCTACTAGTCAGCTCTCTGCCGCCAGCCGCCCGCTACCTGCAGCTGGACGCCGCACGCCTGGTTCGCTGCAACGCTCATGGGGAGGTGAGGCCCGGCCCCGCTTGGAAGGGGAACACAGGGCCTGAAGCCCGGGCCATGCTCACAACTCTGCTCTGATTGCTTCCAGCCCCGAAACTACCTCAACACCCTGTCCACGGCCCTGAACATCCTGGAGAAATACGGCCGCAACCTTCTCAGCCCTCAGCGGCCCCGGTACTGGCGTGGCGTCAAGTTTAATAACCCTGTCTTTTGTAGCACAGTGGATGCTGTGCAGGTGAATCTCCAGGGCCTTATGGTAGAGTGGGCTGGTGTTTGGCTAGAAAAGGCCTAAGGCTCGCCTGAATGGGGAGGTGTTCAGCGCTTCTGGGCAGGAAACCTCCTGGGTGGTGACTGATTGTGAACGTGTGTGGCAGGGGGGCCGAGATGTGCTGCGGTTATATGGCTACACCGAGGAGCAGCCAGATGGGTTGAGCTTCCCCGAAGGGCAGGAGGAGCCAGATGAGCGCCAGGTTGCTACAGTCACACTGGAAGTACTGCTGCTTCGGACAGAGCTCAGCCTGCTGTTGCAGGTGAGATGCTCCTCTAGTCTTGATGGACTTACGCACCAGGGCTGGGGAGCTCAGCCTAACTCAAGTAAGTCTGAGGACCCCCGTGCTGCTGAACTATGGGCATAGTTCAGCATTCTGGGAGCTCCGGGTCCCGATTTTCCCTCTGAGTGTTAAGGGACCAGGGAGGGCTTTGTTCTAGGGGTCTTGGTGTAAACCGTTTTTATCTGTATTATTGCAGAATACTCATCCAAGACAGCAGGCACTGGAGCAGCTGTTGGAAGACAAGGTTGAAGATGATGTAAGGAAGGCAGGAAAGGGGCTGGTGTACAAAGGGAACAGGAATTGTGGACTCTGTGTTCCTGAACCCTTGTTCATTGCCTGCCCTTTCTTTTTCAGATGCTGCAGCTTTCAGAACTTGACCCCCTATTGAGAGAGATTGCTTCTGGCCCCCTCACTACACCTTCTGCCCCAGGTATTATTGGTCCTAAATTGGGGACCAAGTAGAAAGCTATATTGATGGAAATTTGGGATGCTCCTCTATTCTCTTGGTTATCTTCCTTTTTTTTTGAGATGGAGTTTTGCTCTTGGTGCACAGGCTGGAGTGTGATGGCACCATCTCAGCTCAAGGCAATCTCCACCTCCTGGGGTTCAAGCAATTTTTCAGCCTTAGCCTCCAGAGTAGGTGGGAGTACAGGCATGTGCCACCATGCCCAGCTAATTTTGTATTTTTAGTAGAGATGGGGTTTCTCTGTGTTGGTTAGGCTGGTCTCATACTCCCGGCCTCAGGTGATCTGCCTACCTCAGCCTCCCAAAGTGCTGGAATTACTTACAGGTGTGAGCCATTGCACCCAGCCTCTTTTGTTTTGTTTTGAGACAGAGTCTCGCTCTCTTGCCAAACTGGAGTGCAAGTGGTGTGATCTCGGCTCACTACAACCTCCGCCTCCCGGGTTTAAGTGATTCTCCTGCCTCAGCCTCCCGAGTAGCTGGGACTGCAGGCGCGTGCCACCACACCCAGCTAATTTTTGTATTTTTAGTAGAGACAGAGTTTTGCCGTTTTGCCCAGGATGGTCTCAGTCTCTTGATCTCATGATCCGCCCGCATTGGCCTCCCAAGGGATTACAGGCATGAGCCGGCACACCGAGCTCCCTTTGTTTTTTAAAAGAGATTAAAATTGTTTCCTTGGGTCCAGATGTGTTGAAAAGTAGTCTTGTAATTTGCCCCCATCCACAGCAGATTTAGATGTAACCTGCTCTTTCTTGGAAAGATGTTACATTCTGTCTCTCCTGCTCTCCAGGCTCCACTCCTGGTCCCTGCTTCCTCTGTGGTTCTGCCCCAGGCACACTGCACTGCCCATCCTGTAAACATGCCCTGTGTCCAGCCTGTGATCACCTGTTCCATGGACACCCATCCCGTGCTCATCACCTCCGCCAGACCCTGCCTGGAGTCCTCCAGGGTACCCACCTGAGCCCCAGGTGAGAGGCCTTCTCTTCTGGGTGGGAGTGAAATTTAGAGACCTTAAGATCATTTGATTATGGACTACTACATGCCAGGTTCTGTGCTGGAGACTGTTTGATAGAGGATAAGCAGCCAGTCAGAACCCTGGAGGAGATAATAGATGTACACCTCAAGCAAGTAGCAATTGCAGTAACCCAGGTTATTATGGTAATAGGTGGCTGGAACCTCATCTGGAGGGTCAGCTGAATCAGTTGGCAACATTTAAAACACCTAGTGTAGGTCAGGCCATATATTAATAATAGTATCTACTAGGAAGAAGTGAGCTTTAAGCTGTCACTTACGTGTTGCACAGGCTACGGGTATAGGAATGTTTGAGACAGAGACAATGTGTGCAAAGGCCAGTGACATGGGTCGTTACCAAGGAAATGGGGAATGCTCAGAGATGAGCGATCCAGGAACCAGGTGCCACTTCAGCAGGCCATGTCTGCTTTTCCATTACAGTTTACCTGCCTCAGCCCAACCACGGCCCCAGTCGACCTCCCTGCTGGCCCTAGGAGACAGCTCTCTTTCTTCCCCTAATCCTGCAAGTGCTCGTTTGCCCTGGCACTGTGCTGCCTGTGCCATGCTAAATGAGCCTTGGGCAGTGCTCTGTGTGGCCTGTGATCGGCCCCGAGGCTGTAAGGGGTTGGGGTTGGGAACTGACGGTCCCCATGGAACTGGAGGCCTAGAACCTGAGCTTGCACGGGGTCGGTGGGCCTGCCAGAGCTGTACCTTTGAGAATGAGGCAGTGGCTGTGCTATGTTCCATATGTGAGCGACCTCGGCTGGCCCAGCCTCCCAGCTTGGTGGTGGATTCCCGAGATGCTGGCATTTGCCTGCAACCCCTTCAGGTAACCTGTTCCTGGCCTTCCCAGCCCCTTATTGCATGTTACTTCAGGTCGTTCTCTTCTTCCCTATCCCATGTTTTCCTTCAGTTCCTCCCAACTCCCTGTATTTCTGTTGTGAACCTCAGCCAGCCAGTCAAAGGGATAATTCTCTCTGCCTTCCCAGCAGGGGGATACTTTGCTGGCCTCTGCCCAGACTCAAGTCTGGTACTGTATTCACTGTACCTTCTGCAACTCGAGCCCTGGCTGGGTGTGTGTTATGTGCAACCGGACAAGTAACCCCATCCCAGTACAGCATGCCCCCCGGCCCCATGCCAGCTCTTTGGAAAAGGGACTCCCCAAGCCTGGGCCCCCACAACGCCTTAGTGCCCCTCTGCCCAGTTCCTGTGGAGACCCTGAGAAGCAGCGCCAAGACAAGATGCGGGAGGAAGGCCTCCAGCTAGTGAGCATGATCCAGGTAAGGACCGGGCCTGGGTTGAGGTAGGGCTGAGCTGGTGTGGGAAAGGAGATGCTGCAGGTGGTTAATAAGTTTCTGTAAATCTTGTCATTGTTAGCAACAGCTGCCTCTTACTGAGGCAGTTACCCTACTGTACACTGGTCACATGATCCATATGTCTCAGCTCTTCCACTGTCACCATCTTAGTTCAGGCTGAGGGTGGGTGAAGGGTGCCCCTGCTGATGGGCCTGATGGGTGGGACTGTGCCTTAGGAAGGGGAAGCCGCAGGTGCCTGTCCAGAGGAGATCTTCTCGGCTCTGCAGTACTCGGGCACTGAGGTTCCTCTGCAGTGGTTGCGCTCAGAACTGCCCTACGTGCTGGAGATGGTGGCTGAGCTGGCTGGACAGCAGGACCCTGGACTGGGTGCCTTTTCCTGTCAGGAGGCTCGGAAAGCCTGGCTGGATCGTCATGGTAACCTTGATGAAGCTGTGGAGGAGTGTG